CTACCAATAACTCTACCCTCCACTGTACAGGTCAAGTTGTACCTGAGGTACCTCAATGTCCTGAGGATATTAGTCCTGATAAAAGTCCTCAACAAAATAACACTATGCCCTTCAGTACCAAGGACACTAGTTCTGCTCAGTTATCCATGCCTAAAGATCCTGAGGATACTACACTAGGTCATATGTATGATTGTTTAAATCACTCTAATCAAAACTCTGATAGCACAAACTTTTGCTCTAACGAAATTACTATATCCTCTTTCATTCCCGTGTCTGAATCATCCAACTCTCCCTCTATTGTGTCCAGTACACCCATGGTTTCCTTACTTGAAAACAATCATCCTATGTTAACTCATGCCAAAACTAGACATTCCAGACCTAAAGATCTACTTGTACACACAGAAACTGAACCAACTAGTGTCAAATAAGCACTGAGTAAACCTAAATGGTCCAAAGATATGCAGGATAAATTCAATGCTCTGCTAGCTAACAACACATGGACACTAACCACACTTCCACCTGGAAGAACAAATGTTGGCTGTAAGTGGGTTTTCAAACCTACTACAATAAGAATTATTCTAACTCTTGCCATTACTTACAAACAGGACATTCACCAAATTGACATAAATAATGCATTTCTGAATATTAATTTGCATGATGAGGTATATATGGTTTAGCCTCCAAGGTTTGTGAATACTGATAAACGCCTGGTTTGCAAACTCAACAAAGCAATTTATGGCCTCAAGCAAGCACCACGTGCTTGGTATGAAAAGTTGACTCAGTCTCTTCTCCATTTTGGTTTTGCTGCCTCCAAATGTGATAAATCTCTCTTTGTCTACCACAAGCAAGGTATCATATTATATGCTCTTGTCTACGTGGATGATATTCTTATAACAGAATCCAATACTTCTCTTATTCATGATCTGATTAGCAAGCTGCATAATACTTTTGCTTTGAAAAAGCTGGGCAGACCCAGGTACTTTCTAGGAATTAAAGTAATGTTTTGCAGTAATGGGTCTATGCTCTTAACTCAGTCCAAATACATTCAAGACTTACTGTCAAGAGCAAAAATACCTACATCTAATGGTGTTCCTACTCCTATGTTAAGCACGTGCAAACTCAGCAAACATGGAACAAATTTTCTGCCTGATCCTCAGTTGTACAAATCTATTGTTGGTGCTTTACAATATGTCACCTTGACTAGACCAGACATTGCCTACAACGTGAACAAGCGTGTCAATTTATGGCATGCCCTCTTGATACTCACTGGGATGATGTCAAACGTATATTGCGATATCTCAGTGGCACCTCATGGCATGGTCTCATGCTATCTCCCTCTGCTTCAGTCTCAAAATTTTCTTTGCGTGCTTACAGCGACTCTGACTGGGCGAGTGACCCAGATGATAGGCGTTCAACATCAGGCTCGTGTATCTATTTTGGTCCAAATTTGGTATCCTGGAGTTCCAAAAAGCAGTCTCTTGTAGCACGTTTCAGCACTGAAGGCGAATACAGGGCATTAGCTCATACAATGTCTGAACTGTTGTGACTGGAATCATTGATGTCTGAACTACAAATTTCATTTCATACTCCCACTCTTCTCTGTGACAACTTAAGCGTTGTGCTGCTTTCGCACAATCCGGTTCTACATGCTCGCACGAAGCATATAGAACTTGATATCCATTTTGTAAGAGAAAGGGTTGTTGGAAGAATGTTGATCCAACATGTTCCTGCTGCTACACAAATTGCAGATACTCTTACCAAGCCGTTAGGGATTGTTGCGTTTCAAGAATTAAGATCCAAACTTAAGGTTACTAGTATTAAGAACTACCTTTCAGTTTGAGGGGGGGTGTTAGAGTATATTGTTTGGGCTTGTGCTTTGGGCTGTTAGCTGTTAGGCCCAACTTTCCTTTTTCTGTTTGGATTACTTTATATACTCCCTCTGTACTGTTACATTGATTTAACCAACAGATAATACAGTTACACTCTTTATCTTCTTTCTCTAACAACTTTTCAAGCATCAAAGGTAAACTTCAAGATTCATCTCTAATAGAGTTTACAGAATTGCATAAAATATTGATTATTTCAACATTCTTTACGCTAAGCTGATAATATTATATCATGATTTAATGGTTTGAGGATTTGATATCAAAGATCAGACATGTTACTCTAACTTCAACTATGTAATCAAGTTTATCTCAAAATCCTATTAATTTTCGGAATCAATATTTTATAATTCTTTATAATATTAAAGAATTTCTCATTCGAAAATGATAAATTCAATTTCATATTCTTAAAAAAAGAAATAATTGTCCTGACTATCTAAAAAATAAATATAAGACTTATAATGATATAATATATCAATCTTTTGCGAAGTTTTCTGTAAAAATTATCACTATCCTTTTACTTAAAAAAAATATAAGACTTGTAAGACTTGTAATTATGCTAACTATATCAAAAAATATAAGACGTAATTGTGGCTGACTATCTATAAAAATATAAGACTATTTTTTAAATAATTTATTGCTTTTTTCTTTTCTTTTTTCCACTACCAAAAAACACATACTTTTACTCTTCAATTTTGTTTTCTATTTCACACATTCATTCATAAAAAAATAATTAAGTTATCCAATATTCAAATAACTAGATTAAAAAATTATGAGATATAATATAAATTCTACAAAAATGAAAGCAACTTTAAGTCTCTTAATAAAAGTCTCTTAATAAAAGGAGTGAGATATCTATTACTTGAATCGTTCATATAAAAGAGATAAGCAATTGTTTAAGAACAATTGTAAAGATCCAATTTATTATCTAACAATTATTAAAATAGAAAAATTTACTTCTAGGAGAAAAAAGTATGTTCCTAAAATGAGATTAAAATTTTTCCATTTTCTTTTGCATTTACTAATCATTATTTTTATGCTTAGTCTGTAGCTATCTTTTTTTCCGTGCCTATCATTATTTTTCAAAAACTAAAATATATTATAAAATATATTACATAAGAATGAGTCCAATCAACTACAACGATGTTTTCATCTAAATTTTTATCCAGTTAATTATTTATTATTTCTTAATAAAAATAATGGATCAGGATCGTCTCCTTCTGTGTCTCTCATGCGGTGAATTCACCATTGATTGATTTTCATGACAACTTGTATTTTTTAGATTGCAATCCGTCGGAGATCGATTCATTTCCAAAAATAACGTATATTTTCTATAAGTTCTTTAATGTCGATCTCACATTGTATCAACTTCGTAATCTGGATATATATATAGAGAGAGAGACTCGATACACATTCAAATCATGACTTTTCACTTTTCTCTTTTGCTATGGATGAACAACACCCAAAACTCATTCTTTCCTTCGACTCGATACACGATTTTACAAGTTTAAGCTATGGCGATGATGGGATGAAAATAACTTTATGATTTAATTCGATTTAGGATTCGCATGTGAGAAGGAATTAGAAGAAACTCAGATAAGACAAAGAAGGTGATGACAATGCTGCCAACTAGGATGCCACATATACAAAAATAGTCATTGTTACTGAGAAATAGATGAAAATGATGTATATGACATGTTTGAAGAAACAAGAGATCAAATTGATTTTTTTTTTTAAATGAAATGATTAAAATGGACTTTAAGACATAAAATATTTAATCTAAAATATTTGATCAATTCTCCTGTGATCAAAGATTCATAACACATTATATAATATTTTATTCCATGAAAATTGTAAACAAAAATATTTTATGCAATAAAATATTACATAGTGTATTTTAATGGAGTAAAATCAGTTGTATGTGTTACAAATTAATGATGTAGTAAAAAACAAGAGTTTAAAGATAATACAGTGTCAATTTAAAATAATTTTACATATATAATTAATCAAAAAATTTATATTTGTTATATCATTTTAATATTTTAAAAATAAAAATATAATTTATTATAATACATATTTCTCATTTATTGACAGGATACAAATACTTTACACCGTTACTACATTTCTTTTTTTCTCTAAAAAGACAATATCCTTATGCATTTTTAAGTACCCAAATCACCACTCATTCCATAGAGAAATTTAACTATCTTACTCACTATCTTTCTAAATTATCAAGTCAACACAAAATAAAGAATTCCATATTAAATCTTAATAATCACTAAATACATAGACACACATTCAATAATCTCACCATTTTTCTAGACTTCCAAGTCAACATCAACTAAAGGCTAGAGTTTCATCTTATATCTTAATATTAACTATAATAATTCGGCACATAGAGGAATGAAGAACTTCTTCCATCCACATAATAATAAAAATTGTTAGAGATGATGAAAGAAAAGAAAAGGAAACATTAATAAACACATCCTCAAATATTTAATTTATTTTTACTTATTTTAATGAGGAACAAAAATTGTTAAGAGATGTTGAAAGAAAAGAAAAGGAAACATTAATAAACACGTCCTCAAATATCTAATTTATCTTATTTTAATCCTCAAATCTATTTTTAAATAACATTTGTTTGTATCCCTCACTGCTTAGTTTTAGGGATGCTTACATTCCATAACTGATAATATGTAGTGTATACTATACTCAAAGTAAAAACGTCTTTACACACGGGTTAATATTTAAGGTATGTTGGCTAATAATAGCTTTATATCAATACAAATATGAAGGTTTTTCTCAGTCACTGATCTTTGGTTGCTTCAGCTCTGGTTTTTCGAGGTGCAACCGTGAGCGCGGAAATGGAGAAGCTCATTACCATTGCCACACCAGGCTTTTTGGTGTTATCTATTCTGTTTATTCAACTTTGGGACGGCAAAGAGAGGCCAATCACTCATGAAAACTTCATACATATGATCCATATGATCTATTCTAGGATGTTAAAGAAGGGAACTTAAAAAGTCTATTTGATATACAAAAACAGCTTCAACCTCCCTTTACATTCTCAGTTTGTAACATTTCTAAGATCTTCGGCTAAACTACGTCTTTACTAAACTATCTCTTCATTCCCATGTCAACTTCAGTACTAATCACCTCTTCGAATTCCCGTTCCATCTGCACAAAGGAATATTCTACAAGTAAGAACACAGGCGGCACAAAAGCAAATCCTCGTATTCTTATGACTGATCAAATAAAAAATTAGATGTTACCTTTGCTTGTTTAAGTGCCAACTTCATCCTCCTGTAATCTTCTTGCACTTTCTTAGAACGGAACATAGCCTGCACTCGTATTACACTTCTCTCAACGCGTTCTTGAGCTTGTTTCCTACCAGTTCTAAAGAATTCTTCTTCTGCATCACTTTGCTTATTCTGATCTTCCTCTGCTTCTGCGGTATTAAGCTGGAGCCCACGGAAGCCTTTTCTCTTTAAACGCCAACGTAGCACTGCTTTCTCAACAACACCAACTGACCAAAGAATTTTACAATAATGTTTCCGTTGTTGAAAGCACCGGAAAGCAGCCTGCATTGTATCAATTAATTTGTTAAAACTCATCTGTATGAACCGACTGACAAAAGGATATATGATGAGTTAAACTATGCCCGCACTTGGGTCAAAAAAGTCATGTTAATGTTTATGCCAAATGATATCAATTTTGAGTCATTTGATCAGTTTAAGAATGGCAAAAAAATAACATGTTTTACTAAGAGCGATTGGTAATGGTGAGGGCAGAACGTGTAGCTCTAGCTCTTACTTGAATCTTGATAACTTGACGACGCATGTTGAGGAAATCTTTACGAATCTTCCATGTACGGAATCTATATTGTATGCGAGCAGCAGCAGCCATGACTTTCTTGGTCTCAAAATTGCGGAAGGCGTGCTGAATCTTCATTGCTGCAACTATTTTGCGTGCTTCGGCTTCTGGGCTGGAAAACTCAACCGCCTCCGTTCGTAATTTTAAGGAATGCTGCCTATATGCTTCTTGTATGCGTGCAGCTGCATCAGCAGCTGTCCGGTAAGCTGCCAATGTATCTTTCAGGTAGAGCTGCTCCTCGGTAAGGTTCTCGGTATTTACTGGTTCATCCGTGCTAGTTTCCAGTGAGCCACTGATATTTCCAGCCAAGCTCATGTCATTGAACTGCTCAACTAGAGACTTTTCCGAAAGATAAGCTGCTAAACCATGATAACCCCTCGTGTGAGCAAGATCGGCGGCAGTACATCCACCAGGGTTTTGGTGAGTTGGATCTGTGACCAAATTTGGCTTTGCCCCGGCTGATAATAAAGTTGCAACCATTTTCTCCCTGAAGACACAACTTTTATATCAAATACAGTAAGATAGAACAAAATATTTCATTCAAAGTTTCAGCAGCCTACTTTACCTAAACATGTGCTAAATTCATATAGGTTATGTTAATCTCTAGTTATCTAGAAACCGAAAAAAATTGGATGCTGAAACCATGTCAGAAAAGGTTTTATAGACCAACGTGGTAACAGTAGAGAGCAGCTCTAATTTTAGACAAATGTGGTCAGAGTTCACAAAGGTTATTGTGTAGTGTCATGAACCAACTATTACAAAAACATATGCAATTAGGTAAAAACATACGAATGGTTTTTATAACAGATATTTAACAGGTTTAAACAATCTGGGTATTTGTGCATTATACCTGCCATAATATGCGGCCCAATGAAGAGCAGTCCATCCAAATTTATCCCGGAAATCTAGCGACAAGCCTGACCATGAAAATAAAGTAACCGCCCATGTATATCCCAAAATTACACACAAATGGATGACACTTTGCCCTTGTGCATCATATTCAGTAATCTTACATCCTAAAACAATTTTTTCCAAAAGCCATTCCTTTAATCTGTTTTTCAATGCAATTCGAAACAGGTCATCTTTTGCTTGCGAAAATGGAATTTTGTGATCTAAAGTTGACTTCATTAAGTATTGCCAAGTATTGGAAATAAATGACGTCTTTAAGGAGAATTCCCTTGCCTCCTTTAATCTACTAGATGATACTTTACTAGAGATGACATCAAGACTTTGTTGTTTAGCAAAGAGCAAATAAGCAAGCCTCATCTGAAGTTGAACCTCGTCCCAATTGTCCTTTTCTTCCACAGAAGCAATTGGATCGTGCAAAACAGGAGTACGGTACTCAAAATGAACAACTTGGCTGATAGGATTATGGCCATCTAAGCTCAAGTAGAGATTCACGAATCCTGGAGTATGCGGTGGAACCCAACATCGGTATACCCCATCCTGAACATTTTCTGCAGGAACGACTTCATCACCACAGACACATGTTAGATTGGACTTTGAGAGGTGCTGATAGTCTATTTGAAAGAGTCCAGTCACTAGGACCTGCAAGAAGAAAACGAACTTAGAAAGTTTAGCAACAATTGTAAAATAATACTCCCTCCGTTCCTTTTTAATTGTCATTTTTTGACTTTTTACACATACCAAGAAAACTTATAATTATTGTTACTTTTTATGCTATGATTTTTCTTTTACCTATGATACCCCTAACTTTTAATTATTTCGATATACTTTTTTCTCTCTCCATAATAAATAGTTAGGGGTAATTTTGACAAAACTATAATCATTACTACATTGAACTTTGCAAGTGACAATTAAAAAGAAACATAATTTTTTTTCCAAAAGTGACAATTAAAAAGGAACGGAGGGAGTAGGTAGTAAACATATGAAAAAATTGGTCTTATAGCATGTATTTATTTACCAACAGTTCATACTTCAAGCATAACTGATATCCAACATGTGCGGGTGTGCGAAAAATGTGGTTACGTTCAATAATTCAATTTTCTCAAATTATTACTGGTGTCGACGTGTCAGTGTAGTGTCCGTGTATGTTTTAGTGCTTCAAAATTGTATACATTAAAATGTGTATATTCTTTATGGAGCTTATATTCCATACTTTACAGCTTTGGAATTCTACGGTTAAGATTGAATGAAAGGGCTGAGGAATCAACTAGAAGCTAGAAATTGATTTGTATATTAGTCACAACTGTATAGATATAATTGCTAATAAATAGATACACAAACAAAGAAAAGGGAAACCTTTGATTTCTCTGTGGAATACACCCATGCAGGGAACACATCGGTGAGATTAAATATTTGTTCTGGGAGGGAAAGTTGCTGATTATCCACTACGGATGAAACTGAGGATCCAAGAGCCGAATCATCAACTGAACAAGGGGAACCAGACATGATTGGGTTCACCCACATTCCTAAGCTGTCCTGACTTTGCAATCTGTCATTGATCAAAGTGTTTAAGGAATCAACGCCACTTGAAGAGACAGGCAATCTGTCATTGACCAAAGTGTTGAAGGAATCAATGCCACTTGAAGGGATAGGATGGTTCCTCGACTCATTTTGATTTCCTTGATTGTCAATTGTCTGAAGAGTAACACCTTCGGAAAAATTGAATGGAACACTGTAGCTCCCTGGAATTGGCTGAGTTGAAATATTGAAAGAACGAACTTCTGTAGATGCATTGCTGGCTGCCTGGTGGGAAAAGTCATATGTATATTACTACAGCAGGTACAACGCGAGAACCTCCAGAAAAAGGAAAGGAAAAAAAGAAACAAGAAGCAAAGGAGAAGAATATAAATTGAAAAAGAAACAAGCTTTTCTTACATTGCTAAAACTGTCATTTGGTAAAATTTGATTTTGTTGATCAAAATATGGATTTTTTCCTGCAATAAGATAATTCAAAATTATAATAAATAAATGAATACGGTGCTTTTCAGACATGTATAATGTATCTAACTGGTCATGTTAAAGCATAATCAATCACCATTTACCTCCATTAGGTACAGTTGAGGCGTTAAGATCGTTTGTAACAACTAGCTCATCCCATTCAAGTGTATTAAGCTCATGAAGCCTCAGTTCATGACTTTTGACTGTTATATTGTTATTAATATCTGTTCATCTCCAAAACAGAAGGAGGGATAATATATATCTTGTCCCGTAAAGATAATTATAGCATCCATTTGGAAAGAAAAAAAAACATTAAGTAATGTTGCAAACAGTTCATTTAGTATATTTTTCAATACAATCTAGGCATCAACAATTTGACCAAGTATATATATTATGATGATATGAGCAGAAAAAAAACATATATATTCTGCTTCTTTTGTAATATGAGCAGAACAAAATGTGTTGGAAGGAATTTATGTGCAATTATCTTATGTAGAGACACATGGGACGTTTTTTTCTGCACATTAAAATATAATTGTTTCAAATGAATGTCATAAGTCATTAGTACTGATATGGGATCCTTGCAGAGACTGTTCCATCATGGGATATGTGGAAACGGGGATAGGGAGGAAAATTAACCAACCTGTCTATGAGAATATTGCAAAAAAAAAATAATTCTTTAGTTTCCACCATGGGCCATCGTTAGGAAGAGGGCTGTTTCCTCAAAAGCTATGAATGACACGGTTATGTATTGTTGTTGTTGTTATTATTATTATAAATATAAATAATAACACATAATTTGTCTTTTTAGTCTTTTTTTTAGATAAATACAAAGCTAGCAAAATTTTAAAGAAAACTGTCTTGGCTTATTCAAAAGAAATATACAGGTTTTGTTTTCATTATTAAATAAAGTTGTGTAAACTAAGCAGCCTTTTTGCTCAATTTTATTCTTGCGGGCCTCCACAAAAATTCATGGGAACCCGCAAGGATGGGGATGGGGGATCAATATGGGGGACAGGGACGGAAGAGGAATATGAGAAACCAGGAAAGAGAGAGCATTCCCTGCCTCCTCCCCACCTCGTTGACATTTCAACTTTCAGAAATATGATTTGTAAGTAGAAAAAATGCAATATTCTAAAAGTTATTTCTCACCACCAGCATATGCAGTTTTGGTCCCTGAATCTATTTCTTCCGACAAAATCCATGGTGCAGTAGGGTCAGAGGCAGAAGTAGAGTTTGAATTTACGGGAGTGATGGGAGATCCTTGAAGCTGCATCATGAGCCACAATTCAAAATATATTACAAAGCAATGTTTGGTTCATTCTCGAATCAAGTTTTAAAGCATAAGCGGCACGTTAAGCATTGATTTATGTCTAATTATAAACATGGCTTTACAAATAGAAATCAAGTAACAACATCCTAGGACTGATGAGTTAGGTAGGCATCCTTCCAAAAGTATGTTTTATGTTTATCGAGAAAACTCAAGAACTAAAACTTTCGAAGGAATGGAAGGTGAAACCGACACTAATCTCAACATAATAATGATACAGTGAGTGGGATATACATAGTTATACATCCCTTTTTAATACTGCAGCAAGAAACAACCTTCAGTTCTTTTAATGAGCCGTGTCGTATTAGCAGTTCAAAAATAATCAGGTTTTGATAATGGCGTGCACATAAAACTGTACTTGTTAACTTTAATACAGACTACTCCGCCATGAACTAATGATGGTTAAGTCAACATTTTAAGATAGTTTGAATAAACTTCCCTAGAATCACTTATAGGGGGGGAAATATAACGACGTTTATGAGTTTTATAAACAAAAATAAGCTCATAAATACTTTTCGTAATATAAAACTATTTTAATTAAGAAACTATCATCAACACATGAAATAAGACAAAGCTTGAGACCTAAAATGAAATGGTTATTCCATTTGTAGTACTAATCAAAATTTGAAGCTTATATCAATCATCAAATCTGTTAAGCCTACAGATCCAATGTTGGACTTGGATTATACCTTCTCAGGAATGTAACGGTAAACAAAGGTACACAAGCTGCTTCTTAACACCCAAAAACAAAAGAGACTGCGCACGGCACACAAAGAACAAATTAAATTTCCAACCAGACTGAATGAAAATACATTTTTGCTGTAAAAAAAATATGGAAGTTGATTATTGGTGTATCCAGAGTCCAGACATGTTCAAATGGCTAGTTACCAATCCAAGGATCAATGAGTTACAAACTGACTAATGACAGCATACAAATATGGTCTTTCGTTCAGCTAAAACAATATACACAGTGGCATAAATAAATTGTGGTTTTGAGGTAAATTTAAACTTTTTGGAAGGAAAAGCAAGTGATTTACACAAACCTCCCGTGTTTCACGGTAATGAACTAGGACTATGTGTTCCAGACTCCTGAAAAAAGATGGTGCAAACAATTTTATGTCAGGTTATTATATGCAAAGTTATTCTAATTATATTCTCAAACCGATGGGTACAAGAATTTGAGAAGCACCATTACTAAAATATAATTCAGAAATTGGATTACATACTTATCAAGCAGCCAATAACATCTACGGACAAAGTTTGGGTTATCTTGACCATGTGCATAATATACATGGATCCTTTCTTCATTACCAACCTGATTGATGGAGAAAAGAAAAGAATGATCAGAAATCAGATATGATACGACATTAATCACTCAAATCTATAATCAGAATCAATAATAGCAAAAACTGGATGAAGGAAATGTTTATCATGCATGATAAACACTGTAATCTTATCTGATGAACGGTGAGATTAAGAGAAGAAACATAATATATTCCTCAAATATTAACCAGAAACAATTAACAATGATACAAGTGTGATCGAATCATTATGCGAAAACTGTAAAACATACTATAGCACATTAAATAGATTAAATAACATCAAAGTACAATGTTTTGAAGAAACTAAATGCAACTTGCTAGTTGATATCATAAAATTTAAATTAACACAAATATAAACACTTAATAAAATGAAAATCCTCACTTTTAAATGCTCATGAGCTTCCTTAACAGTTTTTCCATCCTTTTTCTTTTTCCAGTTGTGCCCATCTTTTCTAAAGTTCCGAAGCATCTTACGGTCAAATAATACAATAGTACCACCTGTTTACACACAAAATAGTAATAGTAATAATAAGATAACATTTTCATTGAAAATTTGACACATCAAAACTGTTAATAGAAAAAACATAATTATCACAGACTGCTTTCTATTATCTGCAGGTAAACTGTATTATAGAAATTAAGAAATAGAGACTACAAAGACAGAAACGAATATGATGAGATGAGAAATGTTAAGAAAGAACGAAAATGATGTATATCTTCTGCACAAAAATCAGATTACTACTAATAGCAACAGATAATTACTTTTGGGCAAATTCATTGGCTTGACATTGATAGTGAAATACTTGCGATTGCAAAGCATGGCATGAATCTCATTAGGGCGAAGCCATCTTGTTCTTGCCTCCTCCATAATGCTCGCAACATCCAGCTCTAGAACATATAAAAAAAAATTCAAACCAAAATGTAATCGGAGACAATTTAATATTTATGAATGACAAGGTAATAGGAAGTGCAGCTAACATTTACAGCGAAAAGAAGAGAAAGGGAACATCATACTTCAAAACTGATATTAAAAAGAATGGATTTCTCTACCTATAAAGCAAGACATTGAAAAAAATTTGACACCAGAAAATTCTTAAAAGTTGTTTTACAGATTAAAAATAATCCATTTTGTCTAAGCAACCTAAACACAAACAGCTGGTGAACAGAGAGAAAACAATATGAAAAAATCATAAAAATTGATAGTTGAACAATTAAAAGAGTGGGAGTGAAGTATGAACCTTGCAATGTGTGAAATCCATGAATATCTGATCCAACTAGTTGTTGACCCAATAAGTTATTATCCATCACATAAACCTGCAATTATCACATAAACCTGCAATTATGATAAAGAAAATCAATTAATCAAAGTAATAATGAAAGGGTAGTAAGAGTAAACTTATGTAGCACGGACACCTCGCAAAAAAATCGTAAATATATCCACGTCGGTATCGGACACTTGATGTTTAATTTATTTATTTTTTAGATTTATTATCGGTGTCGTGGTATCAGTCTCGGAGTAAAAATCAAGGGTGTAGTTGCTTCATAGAAGAAAACAGAAAAGATGATGAGTTTACCTGATTGTAGAGAAGGGTGAGTCTATCTGTTGGGATTGGGAGACATATGATCGCGTCTGGTAGTAGCTAGCTCAATCACACTCCTTTCGATTCTAATTATATCACACACCTGGACAAGTTTCTTTTGTCTTTAAACAAATACCTTTTTTGTTTTTTATATTTTTAAAAAAATATGATTTTTATGATTTTTTTTAAATAAAAATAGTCAAACAAAATTAATTTTGACATCTAATAATATATGTTTTTTAAAAAATATTTTTATAAATATAAAATAATATTTTATAAAAATTTATTTAAATCAATTTTTTATTTGATGTTTTAAAAACAATTATAATTTCTATAATAAAAAATATGTAACATTGTAAAAAAACAATTTTTAAAATAATCACAAACAAACAAGACTAATATTATTATATTTATGATCTTACCGAATCAGAAATGAACCGTCACAGCTAGCTCGGGCAGAAGTTGAATGAGATGGGAGGATACTTGCAAGACACTCTGATGGCAAAGTAAGTTGCGGAGTGAGCAAGCAAGTGTAAGAGTTAGAAAGTGTTGAATTAAATACATGACCCTCTTAGGAGACAGGGTATTTATAGTCCCCATCGTTGGGCCAAGCTTCCCATTATCGGGCCACGTTGAGGCCCAATAACAGGAACGGTCAGGGCTTACGTGTGTATGGAGTCTAACAAGTGGACTCCCCACTGGTCAACTGCTCCGCGAGAATAAGGTCGGACCCGTGATTTTCGGAGGGCAGTTTAAGATGACTATTGTGGGATTGTGGGCCATGTCCTCCAACGATCGTATGAAGAGTTGCCCAACGGTCCCTAACTTAGGTTGTTTTTGGGCTTCCCATTCGAAGGACAAGTGTAGGCCTAATCCAGATCAGGAGCCCCCTAAGTTACTGCCCTCGAGCAAAAGGGCGGTGACTTGAGTTCAGCTCTCGATGCCGGAGACTTGATCGAGGAGGACGACCAAAGTCCCCTGAAAGGAACGAGTTGTTTCCCGCATGGGAGACAAGCTCGAGTGTGTCGGGGGATATTATGGATGAACGGGCAGTGAGACCGAAGGGTTAGTCGCTTGCTCGAGAGGACCGTATTAGTAATGGAGAGCCTCTGCGAGATTCTTTTCGACGCGCCCGTCTTGAGGGAGTTATCGATATGTCGAGCATTACATCGTTCCTGAGGTGGTTGAATGGATGTGCCTGTGTACGTACCCTAGTGTCGAGCATTCTCTCGCGTGGGGTATCTGTCTCGTGCGTGTATAGGGATAACGCGTAGGAGTCGGGCATATACTCGTCAATCCATAAGGGACGCGTTGTTGACAGTTGAGCCACGTGGCTAATGCTTTGGGGTGCCACCCCTTCAAGGGGAAAGCCAAAAGGCCCAATGAAATGATGACCTTTCATGAGGGACCTCTTGGGGCGTGGGTCACCTATAAAAGGGGGCCCCTGAGTCTCATTTGTCATCTTCTCAAGTTTCCTTTCAACTGTTCTTGCTCGTGGTGTGAAGCAATCCTCTCAACTTCCCAGATTTCCTTGCTCGTTATGTGAAGCAATCCTCTCAACTTCCCAGATTTTCTCTTTGAGTCCTTCATCCAAGTAAGTTACAACCTCTTAACACCACATCTCTTACGCATTTCTGGAAATTATGCCTTGATTGGATGAACATTTATGAGTTCTATGATGAATACTCATGAATGTTCATTAAGTTCATGATTTCTGCGTTGAGCACTCATGAATCTGTCGGGCACTTTATGAATGTTCATTAACTATGGCGTCAGGGGGGTATCCCCGAATAGTGGTCGTAGCACAGGGGATGGCTTCCCCGGATACAGGGATTATCTCGGGCTTCTCGCTCGGTGAGTGATCATCCCCCCGGCTACATGACCTCCCAACGAAATAGTCCGCTTTAGCATGTAGTCGAGGGCTTGGGTCGAGTTCGTCACCCTTTCACTTGATCTGTGGTGGAAGGGTGGATTTGATAATGTCGAACTCACTATTTTCCCCTGCTTTTCAAATATAATGACGTACTCAGTCGGGGACGATATTCTGGCCGCCAATTATAAAGGCGAGCCCCACAATGACGAGGATCCTTTGGCTTGGGTTGCTCCTGAGCCCCGGAATAAACGGTTGTGCTTTTCCCAAGACGCAACGGATGCATTCAATTGCCCAGAGGTATGCGCAGAAGGGCCCCTCGCCAATTAGATGCTCCAAATTCCCCACTGTGACTGAAGAATATGCTCGACGTACCTGGGAAAACGGTTCCCCATGTGTGAATTCGCTTTTAAAGAGGCGGGGATGCGCTTTCCCTTCAATGATTTTCAAGTTGGTGTTTTCCAATGGCTTCAATTGGCGCCTTCTCAACTCCACTCGAACGTGCTGGCGTTTATGCAAGCATTCGAGCTCGTCTTTCAGTATCTGAAGATAGGTGCCACGTTGCCCCTCTTTTTCTGTATCTTTCACCTCCAAAGACAATCCGTTGGAGGGGGGTAGACGTGGGTGTCGTTCAAGCAATTCGGGAAGCTCTTTAGGCCTTACCTGGAGTCTGTCCGGAATTTCAAAGAGAGGTATTTCATCGTGAAGCCCCTGACAAATGCGGCCATAGATTCCCTATATACTCGTGTGGAAGAGGTGGAGGATGGGCGGCCAGTTACCCCGCTTATGGCCAGATTTCTGCCTGAGTGGCAGTGGAAGCACTTCGAACAAAGGCCCGAATATTACGCTGTGAAACCCGAGGACCTAGACGCTCAAGACCAGCTTTCGTACGAGAAGCTGTCGGCCTATGTCAAGAGTTTCTCTCCCGCGAAGTGTGTGGATGTGAACAACAACCTCTTGTTCGACGACGGGGGGGAGTATCTTTTAGTCAATAGGTTGGTCAACATGAAGGCCTTGCTCGAATGCTCCTCAAATGGGGAAGCCATGAGGCTTTTAGGTAGGGGAATGTTGTACCCCAAAATTTTCCCTCTCATTTATCAAGTATTTTCTCACAAGATCTACTTTGGTTCAAGACTGCACAAGGGTTGATCAGCTCAAGACACCTCCTTAAGCACTGATGACTGAAATTATGGTTTGAGATTGCACAAGGATAATTGAACTTTTAATGCCTAATATGACTTTAATTGTTCATTATGTACCCCAAGATTTCTCATGTCAAGTTTCAAGTCTTGGATCACATTTTTGCTCAGTCAATTGAACAGTTGACCTAAAAATCAGTTGTATTGGGGAAAAAGTCAATTGTAGCCAATTTACAGTCAAACTTAATGATTTTTGATCCATATCAATATTATAAACTCATATGTATCATTTTATCAAGTTTGGACCATAATTCCTCAAGAAATTTGATCAGATCATCAAAAGGGCAAAATGGTCAAAATTAGGGTTTTGACAGAGAAAGGGCAATTTCTGATTTTTGACCTAGAAAATGGTTAATTGGTTTGTGGCATGATCTCAATAGTTAAATTTCATCATTTGACCTAATGGCATGACTCAAAACATTGCTCAAGATCAATTGAATTGATAGTTGATTTTCAGTCAACTGATCAAAAGTCAATTGTACACTAAAAAGTCAAACTTTGACTTTTTGGTCAAAATCAAGTGTCAAAGATCACAGTTCATCAAAACATGTCAAAATATGAAACTTGTTCATCAAGAAATCAAAAAGTCAAGATTTTATTTTGAAAAGTCAAAGTTTTCAAACTTAGAAATTTTTCTAAGTGTTGAAAACTTCATATTTTTTCACAACTTTGAGCCAATTTTTCACCATGATGCAAGATGATTCAAAAGAAACTTTCAAAATGAAAGTTATAGATCTCCATTATATCTACAACATTTCTTTACACAACTTCTCCTAGAAATTCTTGGATCTCAATTTATTAATCCATGAAGTCATGTCATGAAACTAAACACTTAGTGAAAATATTGCCCTAGTTTAGGCAGGATTTTGACCTAACTTCATGGAAATTTTTCATATAATTACAAGGGTAATTTTCAAAAGTGATTCAAAGAGGGGTTATAAAGCACATTACAAGCTTTCCAAAATTTCCAATAACTCCTTGTGATCATTCCTAAGCAAGGAGAATCGAAGAGAGGAAGTTAGGGTTTTCAAACTGAAATTATAGGTCATTTTTTATGAACAAGAATTCAAATCTCAAGCCTATGCTGCACAATCTTGATTTGCAGGCCTCTAAACCCTAAGATCTCTCCCTAATCAGAAGATTACATTTGCTTCTGAGCTATTGTCCATTTAATTCAAGCTTTCTCCAATACAATTTTCCATTAATGGCACAAAGGCACCATTGCCATTTACATAAAGCAAGCTTTATGCAAAGTCAACTTGCATTGAGCTTTGCACTTGTTCCTTTTGCACAAGCTTCCTCTACAAAGTCAGATAAGTATGTTTAAAGTTGGTAACCACTCTACATGCTTGTACTTGCTACCTTGAAACTACATTTCTCACTTTTCTTCAAAATCAAGCAACCTAGCCATAACTATATAACTCAGAAATCCTTTGTGCAAAACCTCTAAAACCTTTTTATTATAGATACACAAGTCATTTGCAAGAAAGGACACGCATGCTCAAGCCCTGAAACCCCCTAAAACACAGAACCACCAAAAACATCTCAAAACTTGCCATTTCTGAGTTTTGAATCCAATCTCCAAATTTGCTCGTGCGTTTCTTGGCCTTTTACTTTCAAAAGCTTCTAAATAACATATACAAACAATTCCAACAC